GTATACAGATGATGTGTTATAGAATTGTACACCTAAAACCTATATAATTTTATTAACCAATGTCACCCCAATAAATTCAATAAAATTTAAAAAACAAAAACAAAAAACACCTGCCTTTGGAGGCAGAGAATTGAAATACCTCAACCATAGTTTAATTTAGAATTGGCAAAGCTCCTATTTGATTTGAAAATTTACCCTCTAAATTAGGGACTTGGAATTATTTGTCGTCTTTATTTTCCTTTATAAAATTGCATTTTTAATTGACCTAATTCTAACTCCCACAGATTCTGCACAAATGATCACAGTGTAAAGAATTTAAGTATAATTTCTACTTCTATTTGGAACATTAAAACTCAGCAGGAAGTTTGGAGCCCTAACCCCAATGTGATGGTATTTGGAGGTAGAGCCTTTGGGAAGTAATTAGGGTTAGATGAAGTCATGTAAATGGGACCTCCATAATGGGATTAGTGTCCTTATAAGAAAAGGAAAAGACCAGAGTGCTTTACCATGTGAAGACATAGCAAGGAAGCAGCCATCTGCAAGACACCCAGTCTATGGTATTGTGTTGTAACAACCCAAGCTAAGGAAACAGTATTGCTATATGTAGTTTAAAACATGCTTTCTCTATCTGTGCTGTCCTCAGCAACTTATTCTTAGCCTATTTTCAGTAAAATGAAGATTATAGTGGCAGCTGACTTGGTGTTGTCATGAGAATCAAAAAGTTAACATTTGTGAAGTATGTAAGGAGTAGTTGATAAATATTGACTTAAAAACATACATTTATATATTTACTTGTAGATCTAGTGGTTTAAGCTATATACTTGGCTAATTGTTTTTATTTAAATGTTCAGTAAGCTTTAACCAACTACCAGTCATGTGAAGATATGAGATAAGTAAAAATTAAAATAACAAAGTTGGCTAACTTTTTTCAACTATTCAGTGTTGGCAAGTAAAATGCTCAGAGGCATGTTAAATTTCCTAATTTTGGGGGAAAGTAATTTGGCAATATTCTTAAATCCTTAATATTATTCATAAACTTTGACTCATTGATTCCTTTTATGGGTCAGGAATCCAGGCAGAACTTAGCTGGGTCCTCTGCTCAGGGCCTCACAAGGCTGTGATCAAGGTGTCCACAGAGGCTGGAGCCTTATCTTGAGGCTCAACTGGGGAAGAATATGCTTCCAAACTCAATCCTGTGGCTGTTGGCAGGATTCAGTTCATTGAGGGCTCTTAGACTGAGGGCTTTATTTTCTTGCCAGCTGTTGGCTAGAGGCCGCCCTCAGTTCCTTGCCATGTAGGCCTCTCCAACATGCCAGCTTGCTTCAAGACAGAGTCTGCTAGCAAGTCAAAATATGCAACCTTTTGTGGCCTAATAATGGAAGTGATATACCTTCCAAGTTGCCGTATTCTGTTGATTATAAGCAAGTTACTCACAGGGAGGGAATTACATAAGGCTGTGGATTCCAGAGGCAGGAATAATGGGGTGGGCATTTTAGAGACTTCCTACCACATATATACACATTTATACATTAATATAGTATATAAATATATAGAAAAACTGCAAGGAAATATGCCAAAATATTCCAAGCAAGCATCTCTAAAATAAAGGATTATGAGTGATTTTCAGTTTTGCTTCACACTTTCTATATTCTATGAGGTTTATTTTTTATAATGAGCATATATTACTTTTATAACTAGAAAAATGTCTGTTTTATCTTTTTAATAAATACTTAGTGAAAATTAATTACAATTTTACTCAGAATGCTACAATTAAGTTATTCTCAAATGACCCTATGATAAAAATACTCCTTTGAAGGTCTGGCTGTAGTTAAAATGTCTAAATCTGGATGGACACTTTCAAACATCTGGTAACTAAATGGGTACTCAGGACATGATTAGCTGTATTTGGCTTAATTTTAACCCTTTCTACTGTATATGTTTACAAAAAAAAACAAAACAAAACAGGAAAAAGATCTTTAACCAGTTGTGTTGGGTTATTTTTAGCACCAGTACCCATACTTTTAGTCACAGTCATGGAGGAGAATGTTACTATGCTGGTAAGTCAATTATTCAAGAATTTTTTCTCTTTTCAATATGGACATTGCAATGTCCTCAGTGCTTCAGGGAAACACAGTCCCTGTGCTCAAGAAGGTTACTTTGTAGTTGGTAAGAGAACAAATATACATCAAATAACAGCACATAATTCTTTCTCTGAGGTACATAAAACATCCTCATTTCTGACATGCTTGCACCACAGCTGCCTTAATAATTTAGATGAAGGAAGGCTGAAGTACTCCAAAGATCCTTCTTGGAGGAGACGTGATCTAGGCCTTCCAAAGGAGGTAGCACTTGAACACTCATGGAAGGAAGAATAAGGCACTGGGAACAGTGACGTTTGACAAATACAATCTCAGGTTATGCTTGTTACTCTAATGTAATTAATAATAGCACCCCTTTTCACATTCCAAAGCATCTCTATTTTGACAATAAATTAAGTGAATATCCTAAGTAAAAGTAAAGGGCATTCATACTCACTAAATTGAATCAATCTGCTCAATAGATAATAATTCCTACCAGCATCAGCAAGAGAAGGTTTTGCTCATTTGGGTTCTCTGTTCATTTATTCAATGTAAATTTAACTTAAAAGAGTAATTTGTTTTACCTTTTTTTTTTTTACTGTCACTGTGGAATAATAGCCAATTAGAGATATAGACTGAATGAGAGAGTATTTTTGCATAGCTTTTTTTTTTTTCTTTTTTCCTTCTGCACAGCAATCAAGATACTACAGCACATACCAGAAAGACTCCTAAAGCTTCATGGTAACAGACATATCTAGAGTCTGAAGAGTTTACAAAGGTCTCCAACGGCTTGGGGAAGAAGATTATGTTGGTTTTCTAGGATTCTCCAGGACAGGGATTGAGATCAGGTTTCTTACCCAGCTTTGTTCTAAGAATTAGAGTTTAAAGCTCACAGAATTAAATGACCTGCTTGCCTGAAATCAATAAAGATCTTGGGGAGGGGCTGCCATCTCCATGGTCATCAGCTCACACTTAAGTATGGCACCATCATTTCTCAGCACAATGTGAAACTGGTAACCATGGAATATGAAATCCAAATTTTGGTCAGGTCAAATTTAACAATAACTTCACGCAACCAATACAGGGTGGAGTAAAAGTAGATTTACAGTTGTTCAATACAATAGCAAAAGAATACAATAACAAATAATACAAGAGCAAACTCTGTGTTTCACATACTCACAACTGAAACCTACTTTTGCCCCACTCTGTATGTTACATAAAATTTTAAGCCATGATCTATTTGATCTATGTGCATAATTTCACTTTGCAAAGTGAAATTAAAAGGCTCTATAATGTCTAATAAAAATGTTGCTTCAAGGTAATGCCTTATTTATAAATTTGTAAGTTTTATGTATTTTTTGTTTTTTAATCCTCACCTGAGGATATTTTTCCCATTGCTATTCAGAGAGAGAAGAAAG